TGGTCACGTACATCTACCTAATTCAGTCATTTAATTAACAGCCTAGCCTTTTTAATAAATGTAATCGCAATATAACTTTCGTAGGTGTTTATTTAAGATGGCCAATCGGCTTCTGTGTGGGTCGCAGTCGCAGGTCTAACATAACCTAACTTACCATTATTTTAGCAACTCAGTTTTCATAACAATCCTGTCACCCTTCATCTTACAGGTAAAGAGAGAAATTCTGCCATAGTTACTATCAATCGGCTAAGGGACAGTTGTGTTTTAATAATAACTATCGTCAGCCATACTAAATTAACTAAATATCGCGGGTTACTCACGTGTCTATCTTGATACTAGTTTCGAACCACAGAGTGGTTCTTCCTCATGAGCAGCGTGCGCAGACGCGGCGACGTCGCGCAGCCTACTGATAGTTGATTGATTGATCGGCTGTTGTAACCAGTAAGCATATACACGCTAAACACATCATTGCTATGGGTTTATTTAAATCATAAATCATGTTTGTCGGTTTTGAAAAACCTACCTAGGTTAGGTATACCTACTTAACCAATTTTCCTGTCCTGTTGACGATGCCTGATTAATATTGGTAGTTTGGTAGGTAAAAATGAGGCATTATAAAGTATCCCTGCTAAAACTAAAGGCAACTGGGTATTTGCGGATTACAGTCCTAATGCGTGCATGGCGACAAAAGAAGTCTACTCAAACTTTTATAGTTCTTTCCTCAAAAGACCACTACGGAATCAACTTGTCAACTTGGAAGGTTCTCCCACATGCTACATTATTTTTATTGAACTGGATTTTAAAAGAGACTAAGGACCTCTGATAACATAGGCCTTAAAACTCTTAAACATATATCTAACAGGATCAGAAGTAACACAAAAGACATCAATAATTTGGAAGTTAGCCAGGTCAAAAATAAACTAATTCGAAGTTTCAATACAATAAAAGGGTGCGAATGATGTAAAATATTTATTTACATAACGTACATACCTACAGTAAACACGAGTCATTTTACTTTATCACATACAATTACTCCGACTACACGGGAAACGACACAACATGACGCATCACTCATTATTTTTATCATACCTACTCATTATTACTTAGTAAATTTACCGTATACAATACTAGTGACAAAAAGATTCGGTCTGTGGCTGAGCTGTCGAGAGAAGACCATGGTATCTACGTAACTAAAGTAATTCTATTGTTTTAATCCCAGTCCTGCTTCTATCAAGACAGAAGCCCCCGTTCCTTGTTCTGCTACAGCCTGCTACGCGATATATGAATGCGCTTGTCACGCATCCCCGGCTGTACAACGCCCATGTTGGCCCCCGAGCTACCCTTAGTTGCCTCCGCGGTTACGGTAGATTGTCGCTCGATCTCCGTCGCCCGGAGTGTCGTGAGAAAGATAGTTCTCACACGCGCTCCGCCTCCGTCTTTGCGAGCATCACTACTTCACTCAGAAAGAGAAGACGTCCCAGTGGTGCAACTTTAAAAAATCTTTTTCTATTTGATAATCTCTTGACAGTCTGTTTGGAACCCTATAGTCAAGTGAAGCTAAGACTAATTAGCTAGTTTTTGTCCAGTCATAAAAACAGGATATTTTCAACACAACACGTACAGTCCCACTTAACAGTCTAACAGTGAAATAAGGAAAACCAAAATAATGTGCTCATTCTACCACAACAATGATGTTTTTATAAAAATACGCTTCGTATGTGGAAGTGAAAGGTTTCGGCACGAAGGGGCCAGGGGCCAACCGGAGTAACATAACGGCCTTACAAAATACTGGCGTGAAACAACGCTTGCTCACTTCCAATCCAGCATTTCCAGGTCTTTTGTTTTGTCAACGAAAATCATCAAAATACTTGTCCCGTCCGAGTAAGGCGAGAGGGAGTGTGAGACTCTTACTGACTAAAAATCCCCCTGTTCCTTCTCCTGCTTTAGACCGAGGCCGCGGTGCCTCAGTGCGCTTACCCCGCAACCCCAGCTGAACATCAACCCTATAGGGCCCTATCTGTGTTGGTCTATTGACAGAAGAAGAAGAGGCATTTTCAGGCATAACGTACATTAAAGCTGATTCTCCGTCGAAAAAATAAAAAAACAGACCAACTCTTATGAAGACAACACGAAATGTCAACCAGACGTAGATATCCTAGGTCCTAGAATTAACTGCAAGTCTAGACAAAAGACATAAAAGTTCAGATTACTATCATAGTGAGACCATGACTGAAAATAAAAACTTATTATCTTTTTTCGGTTATTAGCAGTTATAAAGTGCACAATAAAGATGTCGGTGCAGATCGTACAATTAATTCGACGGATCAAATCTTTGCATTTTATGTTTGTCCAAACTATAAAAATTTCAGCAAGCTTATAAACGTCTTCAAATTTAAGGAATTCATGAAAACTCTTGTGTATAAGTTAGACTTAAGTATAGCCTTCATCAGGCTATACTTAAGTCTAACTAACACGATTCTCGCCATTGTTATTTTTAACTGTAACTTAGTATTCTGAATTTTCAAATTCAATACTTTTTCCGGTAGGTATGTTAAAAATGACAAATTCTAATGTTTTTGTATGAAATAGGTCGTTGTGACGTCATAATTTATTACGTCGAATAGCATTTCTATTTAATTTGTTTTATTGAATAACGACTTACAACTTACATGAATATTCAGATAGGTAATACCATGTGAATATAAAAAAAAATATGGAAAATTTAAGAAGATAAGAATTTTATATTTAGAATAATAATAAGAATTTTAAGAAGTTAAATTGAAATACTTAATTTATTTTACACAGAAGAAACTATCCAAATGCAAACTTCTCACAGGAGAGACAAAACAATTGAGGTAAAATGAAATGTAAGTACTTACTGGCTCCTGAATCGTTACTCTATAAATAAACGTGACAATCGATAGATAGTACCTACCAAACTTTGTTCCTGGATATTTGGTTGTTCAACCGATATGAAATTGTGATAATGAAGTTCAGTTATTTTTATTATCTAGGCAAGGTAGGTACTCTAATCAATGACACACGCTATTTTTTTTATGTAGTAGGTAGATCGGCAAACGAGCAGACGGATTACCTGATGGTAAGCAATCAGCGCCGGCCTTGGACACCGGCAACGGAGGAGTTACGAGTGCGTTGCCGACCTCTTAGGGATTAGGGTTTTGGAGATTAAGGGATTGGGGAGGGATCGGGGGAGGGGAAGGATTGGGCCTCCGGTAACCTCACTCACACGGCGAAACACAACGCTGTGGTTGTTTCACGCTATAGGTATTAAAATTGTGCTTTACACATAACTACATGTTTCTATTTTGAAGGTTGTTCTAAACCAAACCCTGTTCTTCTTCTTCGTTCATATGGCAATGTATACTGAATCTATGTATACTTAATGTAAGATATTTATAGTTATAAGTAATGCAGTTTTCGCCATTGAATAGAAGTTGAATTAAATTCAAGTTTAAGAAAGTACTGCTTGCAAAATAAGGCAGGGAAAACTCGTTAATAAAGTGAATATAGAATGAATGTGAGACTTTTTAGTAGCTGACTAAATCAGTACATATAAGTCTGTGTTAGGTCTGATGTTCCTATTCCAAATCTCAACCATATAGTTAACAGGAAAATATTATGAGGAATGCTGATAATAACCGCCAATGTCCTCGCTTCACTACATTTTGTCAATTGACTTTATAATTTCGTATAGTTTCGTATAAATAGATCTTCATTCTCATCATCATCAGCCGGAAGACGTCCACTGCTGGACAAAAGCCTACCCCTTAGTTATCCACACCGACCGACAAGTCGCCAAATAGACTATAGACATAAGTATCTTATTCGCAGAGGTAGTCATGAGGGAATCATCCTGGAAATACCGGATACCTTTATCCAGGCAACAAAAACTTGAATTCTAGTAATTTCTGTTTTCTAACGTTCCACACGACGCGACAGACGAACGTTTTAATGAAGTTACCATTTCAAATCAAACAAAATACTTATAAGCAAATATTTTATGAAAAACAGTCACCGAGGCTTTTCAGCTTCCATTTACGTACTGTACTAAAAACGCCCGAAACGGACAAGTTTCCAAACTTAAAAATCTTCGTTAAAGACAGGTATGTCCTACCTGTAATATAACTTTTACTTCCTACTCATTGCTTGAGCAGATTAACTAGCAGATAAAAAGATAAACGCTCTCACAGTTTTACGGTTAGGTACTATTGAAACTGGGTATGTACATACGTACATATATGTCTACATATATAGTGAGATAGGAGTAGGTACACACCACACACACAATACAGAAATTTATCAAAAACGTATCGACAGTTACATACAGTAGTTATTATTCATACGTACCTAGGTACCTACTACTTTCATTTATAACATTCGACAGAGAGAATTTTACAGTATTTTCAAATGGAAGATTCCTAAGAAACTGGCATAGATACGTCTCAATAAATATATAAAAATAATATTTATTTGATATGCCAACATGATCAGTGATACGGTTATTTTATCGTCACGATATCACGCTGAAAATAGCAGCAACAGGCTTTTGAGACGTCAACACTATTCCTGGATATAGGTAGCTATGCTATACGCGAGGATGTTAACCTTTTCAGTTCGACTCCTGTGACCTTCAAGCCACAAGGACGCTGGAGGGCGCGACCCAAAATAAACAAAAATTTCCTTGCTTTTATTAGCCAGAATATTTAAGATTAAATCGTATTATTGTATTTAAATAGCTCTCTAGTAATATTTAGATTTATACTGAATTAGAATTAAATAAATATTCAGTATTTTCCATTGCTTATTGACTCTACCTACTGATTGATGATTATTACTATAAACTATTCCGAGAATGATAAATTAAAAAAAATAACTGTCACGGAACAGAGAATAAATAGAAAAATCATAAACAAACCATAAAACTTTTATGTTTTACGCGCGCTTTAATATGAATTATAAATAATAAGATAGGTACTTACGCCACATAAGACTTTCCCTCACAGGCACTTCCATTATTTAAAATATTTTTATAAAATAATTAAAATTTTCAATTTACACATATAGTTAATTAAATATTTTCCGCACTCCGCACACACGACAATACAAGTTAATCACTCAAAAGCACGCGCGCTTCTGTTATTGTGTGACACTGTCAAACGATACGCGTCCTGTGCAACGCACTTGTATCAATGGCTAAATGATCAGTAATGCTGGTGCAACGTAACGCAAGTTTTCCTTATATACTAAGGCGGTGGAACGTGCTAAGCGCCATGTAGCACGAAATGATTTTGACCGCGCCGGACGAGTCGCGTCTCTCGCGTCCCATTTGAGCTTTCGCGCCAAACAGCTTCAAGGTGACCTTCAAACAACAGCCGAAATCGATTGAGGGAACTTTTCTCAAAAATTGTTAGGATCTGCGCAAAGTACTGGGAAAAATAGCGAACTTAATATTATTGTTGTTGTACCATATCTATTATCACGTTTTTAACTCCCCTGAGAAGTAGATAGAAGAGCCCACATTTAAGTACATACCTAGATATCTACCTAATAGATAATATGTAAATGACACGAACTTTTCGAACCTACTGTAGGTACGCCATGGCGCCAATGAAAATAGAATTATATTATGAGTCAAGTGAGAAAATAACTCATTATTGCTTAATAATTCAACGTTTACAGGAAAATTACATCAACTAGGACTTAGGTGTGTGTGTATGTAACGCAATACGCGCCTCATTGTTGCAATAAGGCTTACGTTTACTCTCGTAATTTTCTCAATTAGTGAAGTTGCAATTAAAAAAGAAAGTTTGTAGGTATTTTTTATTTTAATTTTAAATGGACTAAGTGTGAGTTCTTGGAAAACCCCCTCGCCCGGGCGGCCGGGCCGCTGTACCTTAACGCGCTTGATCCGCACCGCAACCCCGGCGTGTAGTTTTCCTAGAACTTACACTTAGTCCTTTTAAATTAAAAAGAACAAACGTAAGCCTGGAGCAGGAGGGGGAACGGGTGGTTTCTAGTCAGTAAGAGTCTGGCAATACCTTACGCCGCGTCATGGGCGAGAGAAATTATTTGATGATTTTCCCCTCAAAAAAAAAGTTAATCCTTAGCACACAGTAGCAGTTGAAGAGGCTTATCAACCACACAGTAGCAAATTATTTTTTATTATAGAACGAAATCGAAATTATTTATTTTTTAACTTCATAACTCATTTTTACATAAATGCTTCCACAATACAAAAATAATACAATTTAACCCATACTGCATTTGACTTACCCATATTGAGTTGATTCAGAAAGTCTTACTCCTTGCATCCCCCATCCTTGTTTCCTCTCCTCTGCCTTACCTAAAGGTGAGTGTGATAGATACTAAGGCAATAATTCCACCTATCTATGTAGGTACAAAAATAATAAATTATGCACGAAAAGTCAATAATTCCTCCTGAAAACCACTTATAACACACGTTTGAAGAACAAGGAAAGGAAATATTAACTTTAGGCGAAGTGAAATTATAAAATCTAGTAGGCATGTCTCAATCAGAACCTATCGGCAACTTTTTAAATTGTTTATGTGTCTTTTAACAGTAAAATTACCAGCCCTACTCAGAATTTAGGGTCTTAAATAGGTAAATATTGAACATTGTCATATAAGTAAACTTTACTGTAAAGGGGAAATGAGCTGCTGTAATTTCAGCATAGGTCATGTTGGCATGCCTGTAACATAAATGGGTACCTCTACATTCTTTTGTAGGCCTAGACGTCGATGTTTTCCGTTGAACTATTCGGCATCCTACCTTTGATATGGTTGTAAACTGAAACATGCGTGCCTACTGTTAGAACTCAACGGTCAACTCAGGCCGGTGTGGTTCTTTTCACAAAAGAAACTTCCACAGTTCTCACACAAACTTAGGTACCTACTTAATATTATACTCTCGTAAAGAACTCCTCGGAGTTAAGCAAAGTCATTTTTAAACTTAACCACTGGTTGTTTTTAGCCTAGGTGTACATCTTGTACATACATACCTATATTATTTTTGTCCTACTCGAATAGAGATAAATTTAGTTCATTTTATATTAGCTTTTTCTGGTAAGCAGCTAATATTTTGATAAGAAGATTTGCACTCGACTTTTTATGAGACAGTTCAGTAAACTAGCAGATGGATCACGGATGTAAGCATTCGACGCCGACAACCAAACCTCGGGCTTATGCTTAGTAGCCGGCGGCATATTTTATAATATTATTCTCAACAAAACTGATTTTAGGATTTATTACAATATAAACCGTGTTTTAAATTTATAAAGTTCTTTTAAAATTATTAAATACAGAGTAATGTTTTTTTTTATATGTACTATTGTGTCCCACAGCTGGGCAAAGGCCTCCCCTCCCGGCGAAGGTGGTGTGACGATCTGATCATGTCCGCGGGGCAAACTTGGCCGGAGATCGCTCTAGACAGAGAAGTTTGGAAAGAAAAATGAATATTATATAGTTTTTATTGAATTATTGACAAGAACCTTAGCCACAGCAAATGTATGATTATAACAATATTCGTAAACACCTTCATGCTAGCTGCCAGCAAGCAACCATAAAGTAGAAGTTTGACACATGACGGAAATGACAGTTTGTCACTGAGGGAAAATAATATAATGAATGTTTCTGATGTGATTTCTAAAAAAATAAATACGAGAATTATTCGTTTTAAAATCTCATCATTCATGTTGTATATGTAATTATTTATAAGAACATCTACAAACGCCAGAAACACATTAAACGCTGATGACAGCAATTTTAGATTGAAAAACAAATGTTTCACAACAGCATCAGCTGATTGTTCGACAGCAAACATAGCAATAATGTTGTGATTTGAACATTCAAATTGGATTCCGGTTCGCCGCGTCAGTCGAGTCGTGGCGCTCGCTCACTTGCCCGTTGAGTCGGCATACAGCTAACGTGAATAAAGTTTTCTTTCGGCTAATAATCGGCGGTGAAAGTCGGCGCAGATGTCGCGTGAACAATCGTCAAGAAATGTCCACTGTCCGTTTGTACTTTGAATAAATTAATTGGAGGATTTCTAAAGCGTGCCATGGTGTTAGCTGGTGATTTAAAATCGAATATATGTGTATAAATGTGCGAACCTAGTGAGAACAGTGGTTATTTTATTTTGAGTCTGTAAATTATATAAATTAATAAACTAAAGTGAATATGGCCTTAAAAATGGAACAGAAAAATGATCTTGATTTTATACTCAAAAACTTGTTGGCTGGAGGTAAGTGTTTGTCAGAGCAATTGTATTAAATATTATGTAAATAAATAAATTATGTAGGTTTTAGCACAATCAAAAGTGTATCATACTTAGTGTCACTAATTCAAAGGAAGTTTAATTAAGTAGGCAAAGAGGTCAATTAATATCTAGATATATTTGAAACACATATCCTCACCATACAAACATTATTTTGAATCTAAAATATTTTAACTGTATATGTTTTTGAGAAGTCAGCTGACATACTTTTATATTTTTATATAAAAAAAAATCTCATAACTGTTAACCATGTTCACAATATAAAACAAAAATAATAAAAATAAAAACTTATTCACTAAAACATGATAAAACTATTTAGATGTTGAGTAAAATATTACTAAATACTATATATAGAATGAAATACCTAACTCTGATAAATAATCTGTGAATTCTTCAGCATGTCTTACTGGCCGGTGTTATCCGTGATACGCTTATCGTTTCTTATCAGTTACATTGAAATAGTTTATTGGTAAATAACAACACAATATTTATTGTTTGTATAACCCAACTAACTGGGAAAAAATTGGTGTTTCTTATTTTTTTATACTAGACTAGCTTTTCTATACTAGCCTGCGATTTTGTTCATGTGGAATTATGACTTCCTACAGTTTTTTGTTTTAAAAACCTATCCTATGTCTTTTCTCGTGTTCCAAACTATGTACCAAATTTCACGCAAATAGGTTCAGTAGCTTAGGCGTGAAGAAAAGACAGACAGACAGACAGAGTTACTTTTGCATTTATAATATTAGTTTGGATATTGCTATTGGTTTCACCCGCTAATAGGCTTCCATTGGTCATTGTATGGTGTTATAATAATAGTCTTATAGGCTTTCTCGATAAATGGACAATCCAATATAAAATATTTTTTTTCCAATCAAACCATTAGTTCTTGAAATACCTAAGCACTTTTATTTTACAGGATAGACTTGCAAATGCTTAAACAGATTCACCTGATGGTAAGCAGTGCTACCTATGTTTATCCACAACACCAAAGCACTTATAAGTGAGTAACTGGCCAATATTTAGGATTGGGACTGGGAGGAAGGTTAAGCTTAACTGTATGCACTTAATATTACTTCTTTAATTGATTTGCTTAACACTTAATTTTAGATGTTTTGTAGCCATTTTTCAGAATAATGTATGCTAATTGACTTTCAACCATTATGACCCTATCACATTGCGATTTCATACAAAATTCATAGAAAAATATTGTTTTTGACATTTCATAAAAGTCTTAGAATTGAATAGTTAGTAACTATCGTATTGCAATATGACTGCCAATATGGTATTTAAGACACTAGAAATAAAGGCTTTATTTAGATTTTATTCGATATTTCCCTTTGTCTTTATGTAAACAATAAATTGATTGCTCGGCGACAAGCAATGTAATTGGAAGGTCACCTGAAGCCAGCCATAGAGTCGCCAGACATTAGGCCGCCCCTCTTTATGTCTAAATGACGCAGATAGATCAATTTCGTTACAGTTTCTCCTCAAATAACAGTATAATCGAAAGATTTGCAATTTTGGAATGATTCATCTATACTAATATTATAAAGAGATAAAATTTGTAAGTTGGTATGTAGGGGTTAATCTTTGGAACAGCTGGTTGGATTGCCAAAATTCTTTCACTGATAGATAGCTACAATTTTCCTGAGTGCTATAGGCTATAAAACATCGCCCTACGTTTAAATGGAACCGAGCAGCGGGTGAAACCGCGCGAGAATACCTAGTAATTAATATGATTCTAAAGACCACACGGCATATGGCAAAAGCACTTGTGCCTTGAGATATTAAACAAAGTATTAAAACCATAAATAATTGACTAACGACTGGTCTGTAGCTCTTGCAAATCACACTTTCTTTCGAAGCTCGCGATGTATTTTTCGTAAAAGAAAACCGATATCGAAAATGTCAAAACCTTAACAAAAACCTTATAATTTCTTCTAGGTGTCGCGGGTATGTGCGCAAAAACGACAGTGGCGCCACTAGATCGCATGAAGATTCTACTCCAAGCCCAGTCATCCCACTACAAGAACCATGGCGTCTTGGGCGGATTGACAGCTATCGTGAAGAAGGAATCCCTAATAGCCCTCTACAAAGGGAATGGAGCCCAAATGGTCAGGATATTCCCGTACGCAGCTACGCAGTTCACCAGCTTTGAGATTTACAAAAAGGTAAGGTTCCACTGTAGTTTACAAAATTTGTTTTGGAACAAAAATATCTCATCTCTCAAAAAATGCGTGGCTTGGATAAAGTTTTCATAAATCAATTTTATATAGCCATGTATCCTCCTTGCCTACAATTTCGCTGTAATGAAAGAAAGGAACGTTTCTCATTTTTGTAGTTAGTAAAACTATAATTTCTGACTACATTGCGCTTCCGAACAGATTATGAATAATTTTCTCCACATCTGTGGCTATTTTCGGAAGTTTGACGTCGTATAACCTTCAGACAGAGAGCTGAATTAAAATTTACGTTTTTCACTACAAAACAATACTTTCCTGAAAACCCAAGGAGTTTAAAAGTTAATATCTATCTAATCAATAGTATTATTCAACTGAATTACTAACTCGAATGATCCCAAATGTTTGCTACCAACGTCACTGTGTAAATAGTCTCTAATAATAACAAATTCAAGATTGTTTGTTTGAACGCGGAATAATCTTAATCACGGCCTCGTAGAAAACCGGAGTCAAACAACGCTTGCATATCTCTCGTTTTTTTACCATTTTCAAACACAAAATGTATGATTTTCTGTATCATATTTTCATAACAAAATTCTGAAATTCTCTATTTTTTTTATGCACTATTTTTTTCTTAGTCTAAGTCTATATGTTCATATAAGCTGGCGCCCAGCTGCGCCCGCGTGGAATTTTGATAAAAAGCATGTTATACTTAATGTGTTAATCCAGGGAATCACCTATTTACATACCAAATTTCAACCAAATCGGTCCAGCCGTTTTTGCATTAAAGAGTACCAAACATACACCCATACGTTCTCCCAAACTTTCACATTTATAATAGAGTAGAAAAGGATAGTACGTACTTTTACGTACTCGGATGTACTTAGCCATGAAACACGTTCGTTTGGGAATTGATTTAAGATAGTTATCTAATTTTGTGGCAGGAACACAAATAAAAGCAATAGGTACCATCATTATATTTTCTTTTTGGAACAATTTAAAACCTAACTCTGGCTAATAATTTTCGCAGTGTTACCTGGTGTATTTTTGTCTTATAATTTAACATCAAGGAAGCATTAGATTCCGGTTTACAGAAGAGAAACAAAGAATTTCCATAGATCATACACCATAGACTTTACTTCGGCACCATTAGAACTCATTTACGTACCTACCTACATCAAGGCAAATATTTCTGCAAAACAATGACGTCATAATTATTTGATCGATATTTACTTGCCTTGGTAATCGTGGTAGACACACATGCACAGGTACAGTCAGCTCCAAAAGTCGATGAACAGAATCAACTTACCAAAACACCTGTTCACAATAAAACGCCATAAGTTATAGTCGCAACTAGGAAACAAAATAGCCTGTACACCAGAAATTTACAAAAGTCGTTACACACGACTAATTCAAAAGTATCTGTGCACTATAGTATTCCTAAAGTCGCTGTACACCTTCAATCCAAATGTCGCTGAACATCATTGTATCAAAAGTCACTTAACAGCGGTAAAGACAAAATTAGGTTAACAAAGTATATTTTTAATGTTGCCCCGTGTTAATATACTTTTGACGCTTATGTTGTTCAGCTACTTTTGGGACAGTGTTTGCTAGACCTTAATAATGTATGTTAACACGTTAGTATCTACATATTTTAAAACTTATTACAAATAAATTATATTTTATTGTCAGTAATCATATTAATCTATAATTTATGAAATAACATAAACATAACTCTAATGATCTACGAAGTGATTTTTGTGACGGTACTTGTAAGTTACTTTGCGCAAATCTTACAAAACCTACCTTCCTTTAATTTATTATTTTTACCCGACTACGGCAATGCTAAAATTTAAAGAATTCGACATATGACATATCATTAGAAACGTCTTAATTGTCCGCTGGTTATAAGTTATATGATGTATTACAAAATCTAATGCGGCGTCCTCTAGCGAACAAAACAACTAGAGTAAAAAATTAAAGTTAAGATAATTATACCGTGTTTGGTATCATTTAAAAACGCTTTACTTGTACATTTTGAATATATATATATTACTAGCATTTTTTGGTGACTTTGCTTGTATTCATGTGCTGATTGCATATAATTCACATCTTTTCGTTCATACCTTTTACTTCTTAATATTAGTTAATTCTTTTGTTTATATTATGCGACACAAATACACTTTAACACCAAAATAGTACAAATAATAAAAAGTATAAAAACTAAAACCCAACTACGACACACACCGACGCTGAAAAACGCTGTTTTCTTTCTTATCTTGTTCGGAGGAAACGTTAGGGTGTCACCTAGCACAGATCGCCCGGAGGACACGGTAGAATATACGGTGGAAGTGTGCCCCGCTTGGGCAGGAAGACAGTATTTCAATAAAATAACTTGCTATAATCACTCTTCTTACAACTCTTGATATTACAATCACAACAATTACAATTTAACTAAGGATATTTAAGATTAGGTTGAATTTGAACTTAACGTCCACCGAACACGTGGCCGCGTGCGTATTCTACGAAGGTCCAACACTAATTGTCCTGTTTTACAAGAAGGCCGCCTCACCAGAGCTCGGTGTTCGCTATGGACTTGAAATAATTATGACAGTGAAGTTTGACATCGACGAATAACAAAGAGGTTTTACATGCACTGATGGCCAGTGCGCCGACATATACTTTGTTAACCTAATTTTGTCTTTACCGCTGTTTAGTGACTTTTGATACAATGATGTTCAGCGACATTTGGATTGAAGGTGTACAGCGACTTTAGGAATAGTCGTGTGTAACGACTTTTGTAAATTTCTGGTGTACAGGTTATTTTGTTTCCTAGTTGCGACTATAACTTATGGCGTTTTATTGTGAACAGGTGTTTTGGTAAGTTGATTCTGTTCATCGACTTTTGGAGCTGACTGTACATACATACATAGCTACATCGATACACATGCCCTTGAAAAATGCTTAAGTACTTACTATGTTATAAAATATTAATAAATACTTATCATAATATTAAAATATGAATACCCTCAATATTAGTATACCGTAATAATGGTTACATTCCGTAGTTGTCTGTTCTTCACGCTTAAACTACTGAACCGATTTCTGTGTGTGTGTGTGAGGTAGAGACATATGTAGTTTGGAACTCGAGAAAGGACATAGGATAGTTTTTAATACCAAAAATCTGCAACTCAAGTCACTATTCCACGCGAACGAAGTCGCGGGCAAAAGGTAGAACAATATAATACTAAAAAATAACCGCACTTTTACTTATTGATTTACGATATAGGTACTTTATTCTATAACCCTTTTTTCCATTTCTTCTATTTATGATTCAAAATTAATCTGAATCGATCCAATATTCCCATCTGAATAAATAAAAATAATTTATTGCCTTCGTCGTTTGAAAGAATATTGTTTATTTGTCACGCAGAACTATTAAAATAACTTGACTGAAACTAACAGAGAACTGCCTTTCCTTTCGCTGATCACCGGTGTCCCTCAGGGTTTTTACCTTGTCGATAGCTTTGGACAAAACTAAGAATACAAAAAAACATTTGTATTAAGCCTAATATTTTCATCTTGCCTTTTATGTATATGGCTGCACTAGTTTTTAATAACTTCTTTATACAAACATAATTCCGTTTAATTTTGTGTACAATGAATAATTGTGAAGTTCCTTTAACCTTATTACGGTTTTCCAATGACTAATAGTAGGTAGGTATATGTTCGGAAGCTGACGAGGTTTTCTGTTGTACCTACTTATTATAAATTTCCTCTTATTTGGTAGTAGACTAATGGAATTTGTTCATTGTTACGTTTTTAAAATGGACAAAAAATTATCTTTTAGCCTTTTTTGTACAGTAGCCTTTTGTATAATTCAATTAATCAGTTCAAAATGTATTATGTTTTGATATTTTGTAGAGCAAATCCGATTAATAATTCAAAAACTTGACGGTTTTTTGAACCAAATTTACGTATAATAGGTACATTGATCAATAACATGGTATGAACTTATCGCAATATTAAATTAATACAGCATATCAATGAACGAAATCACTTAACCATTTAGACACCTTTATGGCGTCGACTGATGTACTTAATATCTATTTGGTTTGAAACAATTTATGTAAATGCGCTCGTGCTCATCATTATTCGTTTGTACTTCAAACAATATCGGTTCCAGTGAATCTGTTTAACATTCCATTTCGACTGGACACTTGGATTTGTACTGACTACGATAGATATATGTAGATACAGAATAAAATATAGCATGTATTCAGAAACATTGATTCAGAACAGAGACAGTAGAATCGTATACTTTTTCATCCTACTAAATTATTAATGAGAAAGATTCTGCGAAAAAAAATGCGACGGAGTAACACTTATACATACATATGAGTGTTAATCTTTCACTCAAAAAACTAATGAACTGATAAATGATATTTGAAACAGAGATAGATTATAGTTTGGAATAACAGCTAGGCATGGCAGAAGCTAAAGAAGGTTTATATATAGGTTCAATATGTCCATGAACTTAATATTTTTTTTCTTTTTCTTTCCAACATACCAAATCATTTGTTGTCATCCATTCTTCTTTAGATGTATATGAATATGTCGTTAGAGGGTCAAATGAGTGTCGTGTTCGGCCATTTGTAGGTAATTGGTTTTACCTACTATTTTATGGTAATGCGTAACTGTTAAGTACATCTCGTGTATTCAGGGGGTCAATGGGATCATTACTTGTGATGTTAATACCTTTAAGATGACCATTGATATTTTATTTTCATTGAGCTAGGTATGTTTAAATTTGGTCTCGCTGCTCTATTAAACGTCTTATCTATATTGAAGGGCCTCTGGAGAAGCCTCAATGCCAACGGTAGAATACTGCTCTTTAGATCGCTGACCATCTAGGGCTGATTTTTGAATAGTCAGATAAATGTTATCTGAGGAATAAAATTGTTGCTTTCACTGTCACATACAAACATTCT